GCCATTGTTAAGCCAAAATCAAATTATTGGTTTACTTAACCGGAGAGATTACTATCCGGTTTAGTCAAGTTGTAAAGTGAAGATTTTTGATTTCAGATCGTTTTTGAGATTTTGTTGAGCAGCAAGGAGAAACGATGAGCGAGACGAGACCAGTGCCGAGGAGAGAGAGTCCATGGGGTTTACCGGAAGGTCACCGTGAGCCAAAAGCTCACCGCTGCAATGATCGTGTTGAAGACGTTGTCCAGGTTCCGATCATTTTTCCTTTCCTTGTTTCGGTTTGGTTTCAAAGTTTCGATTTTTTCTTCTTATAGTTAAGCATTTGAATCTCTCTTAGATTTTGCGTATCTCCTCTTATTTTGGGTTCGTGAGTAATGATTAATCTTGTAGAATCAGAGATTCAGTGTAATCAATTTAGGGTTTTTCTAGGGTTCTGTTACTCTTTTTTTATAAATTCGAATCGATCAAGGAACTAGAAATGCAGGATGATGATTAATGAGATTTGATAATGAAGAATGAATACATTGGCTTTGTTGTGATACATAGTTTTATTGCAATTGAAGAACTGAAATTGCTTGTCCTGGGCCATGATTATTGCTCAAATTTTTCATATATCATACTCCTCTTGACCTGTTTATGTAATAGCATTAGTAAATTTTGCAGGCGTTTTTCGAAGGAAACCCGTTTAAGACGGTTCCAGGACCTTTTAAGCTATTCTACCGATGCATGCGCTCTAAGCCAGGGTTAGTGCAATTTCATACTCTAGCACTTCAGATGTTGTTGATGCTAAGCTGCAGAACCTTTGGTTTTTGTTGCATTGACGCATTGACAATGAAGGATTCTTAATGTTGGTTCCGCTTTACATTACCCGTTAAACTCAGTTTCTCGTCTTTCTGATTCATAGAATATTAGACCTTCAAGCCTTTTCTGCTTTCTTGTTTGGCTTAATCGTCCTAAACCATTCATTCTAAATGTGAAGCCTGAACCATTCGTCTTGTTTTTTCAGAGAGGAACCAACAGAGCCATTCAAATACCTCGACCTGGAGCCTCCAAAGAGAGAAGCAAAACTTGAGTAAAGTGAAATTCACTCCCTTTTGTTTTCCTCTGAACTTTTTAGCTGAGCATGTAAGTAAGCGCCAAGACTATGATTTTAAGTTTCTCTTCAACATGTATCAGCAACATCTTATTTCGTCATAATGCCAATAAAATTGATACTTGGAGTTCCATTTCAACTTTCTTTATTCATAAGTCTATTCACTTGCAAGCTTTTATCTGAAATATATAAACTCTGATGAGGAAAAGAAGTTGAATTTCCATTACTTTTATCAGAATAAGATTTACAATTTATCTCTGGTTTTTGGCTCCTTGAACTTTGCTATTACAAAATCTTCATGATAATTTTATCTACCCCCTAAGTATGTTAAGAGTCCTTTATAAAAATTGTTGGACTCTATCTGTTTAAGTAATTTCACTATGTTGTGAATGTGAACTCCCAGCTCCACTTTGGGTAGTTTTGAGTTTCTTGCTACTCTTCTGTTTCAGTATCTCCTTGATCTCTGCTTCCTTCTTATCCACAACTTTTATCAATTCCTTGAAACTCGGTGCTCGTAAACCTCTCCCTGATCGAGATGACTCAGACACTTCGCCTGCCCTTTCCTCGGCCCCACTATCTGGTAGTAGCCTCTGGTACTGCCAGAAAACCCTCCAGAAGAAGACAGTGAGTGCCAGGAAGCAAGTGATGCCACAGATAAGGAAGAGTCCCCAGAAACTCTTGAGGGAAAGCTGAGAGTCCTCAGTTTTTGAGATCTGCATCGAACATTCATGCTTGTAGTTAAGCCATTTCCTGTGGATTTTCTCGAGCTCGCCTTCTTCAGACAGCTGCAAGATAGCCGTCGACATGTCTACAGCTAGAGGAGAGTCTCTCTGAAACGCCTGCAACATCAGTTTCAGAGATTGTGGAGTAAGCAAAGTTATAGAGAAACAGGAAAAGATATTAGACTCAAGTAAGTTTCTCAAAACCGATTTTACATACGAAACCCCAGCCTGTGCGTGTGAATTCTTGTCCTACTGTACGGAACTTGCAGTTGCTGTTTGTCAAAAGGACTTCGATGTAAGGAAGCTCGTCGACAATGGCTGCCACACCGCCAGCTTTGGGGCCACGTTGAAGAGCAGAAAGGTAGTGTTCTTCATCTCTTAGTGGAACAATCCTAGAAGGAGCTATGTTAAGCTCGTTGACCAGATAGTTCCGAGCAAAGGTACCATCTTGAACTCCAATTGGTTCGTTGCTCGCTATCAAGCTATCAATTCCTTCAATCCGAGATGTCAGCTGTTGAACCGTTAAGATCGAAGTGAGACTTGCCGTGTAACTCGAGTTAATGATCAGAACCACGAATAACCATATGATTAACACCAGCCTCCCTAATGAGCTAACCGTGTTCTCCCCTGAAGATTCAAAGGAAAAAGTAAACAGCTTTACTTCTCTCCAACATTATGTAAGCTCTGGCGTGAATCAACCGCTCTATTCGAGTCGGAGCGTACTTACTATGAGAGAAGAACATCGTTGAGAAGCTAAACCTGAAACAATGACGAGGAGAAGGAATATAAGGTCTACAGGTAGCTTTAAGCTCAGTCACATCTGTTTCAGAGTTTCAAGAAATGGGAAACTAACCAGAAGATGGTGATGAGTTGACGCCTAGGAGGGCCACGGAATTCTTCGTTGAAGCGGTGCTCAAGAATCCAGACGATGGCTCCCACGAAGAGAAAGAAGGCTCCAGTGACAGCCCACATCTCTATAGTGAATGGCTTCAGGAATGACCAAGGACTAGACTTGGCCTCTTTAACTGGAGCTACCACCACAAGCCCTGATTCAATAAACGGCTGCGTGAAATCTACAAATCTTGTTCTGTTTGTAACGATCGTGATATCTCCTACAGCTACATCGAAATTCTGAAGACAAAACACCAGAAAACAAAAAGAGAGGACAGGTTAGCATCTTCTGATTATGTTTGTACATTGCATTGCAGAAATGTTAGCCACTCACATCTGCAACAACTTCATTGATTAGATTATCATAAGAAGGATTTTTCTTCCCGTCTCCATACAGTATATAAGTGCGTGGAACAGGATACGGAAGCAATTCAATCGCGGCTTCAAAGACATCAATGCAGTAGCCTCTAACACCAGGCGGGTTCTTATCCTTAGAGACGTAAGCTGTATAGCTCACGCGGTTAGGCACCGCGATTTTGAGCGGTTTTCCATTATTAGGAAACACCCAACCACGAGGAGGCTTAATTACTTCACCTGGCCATATAATGCCATGCAGACGCTGGTTTGCTGTAGATGTGTTTGGAGGCTTAGAGTACAATGTCTCTGGATGCACCACTGAGAGACCCGAATGATTTGACCAGAACCCGACTCTGCGTGGACCTGTACCTGCTATGTTCAGAACTTCGTAAGCCGGGTTAACACGGTTTCTCTCTGAATCAAACATGATTGGCCCTGTCACACCGGTATAATTCATCCCAAGAATGGTCTCCATAAACTTCTCCCCTTCATTGAAAACACTTAGTGCTGATAACTGAAGGCTGCTAGCGTTTATTTTGTGCAGATTCGTATCGTTGGAGAAAGTTATTCTATTGTTTTCTTTGAAGAAAACATCGAGAGCACGAGCAATCAACCAAACAGAATCATAAGCATACAATGCATAAGAGTTGAAGGCATCTTTGGGTCTAAGATTCTTCCATCTCGCCACAAACTGTCTCTTCATACTACTCTCGGTTGTGTAATGGCGAAAAGCAACCACTCCCTGCAAGAGATCCATCGTGTCTGAATCCGCGGGCTCCATGGAATCCAAAGCTGTAGGAAGCCAGTCTGTTGTGATCCATACATAACCACTTCCCATCATTCCAAGAGATTTAGCCACAGAGAAAACGTTTAAACCAGAGTCAGGGTTGACGTGAACAACGTAAACCCGAGATGCCATCAGATTAACAGAAACCAGCAAGTCTTTGATGGAGCTAGAATCTGCACCAGGTGTAATTGCAGCCTTGTAAGAGATCCTTGCACGTTTCTTGGCCAATGCATCGCCTAGAACAGATATCCCATTCCTACCACACTCATCATCAACGAATATCGCAATGACTTGTCTCCATCCGGAATAAGACACAAAATCTGCGATCCCATACATTTGGAAGTAGTCGTTCTGCGTGGTTCGAAGAAAATAAGGGTATTGGAGAGAGGAAAGAGTCGGGTCCGTTGCTCCAAATGACAAGAGAGGTACATGAAGCTCATTAGCTACATATGCGATCATGTGAGCAATCCCTGAAGATTGTGGACCAATGGATGCAACCACTTTGGCTTCCATCAGCTGCAAAGCTACACCACAAGATTAACATACCACGAACTAGTTGTGAGTTCAAAGGTTGTTCCCTTTAGGTACAATTTTAAGAGAGAAGCAGAAGTATATATACCTCCCATTGTGCCAATAAATCCACTGCAATTTGAGTCTTGAAAGACAATATTAAGCTTGGTGCCTTTAAGTACTGTTTGATCAGCATTAACATCATCCATAGCTGCTTTAAACGCCGGTTTAGCCGCTCTTCCGATAAAAGAATCATAAGTAAACAGAGCTCCAACATTCACAGAGCTTGGCCTCTGTAATAGTGGCGGCGAAGAAGAAGAAGACAAGTTTCTACAAGCACATTCCTTTGGAAAGACCCACAAGACAGAAACACATAACAACAAGACAATTCTCATTGCTTTCACCATTGAAGCTCCTCTTATCATCAAGAAAAATCCCATCTTTTGTCTCAATCTCCAGCAAACCAAAAAAAGGACTGGTTTTTTTTTTTGTCCTAAGCTTATATAACCATTTGATTTCTTTGTAGTGACACCTGCGAAACAAACAATCACCAAGATGAATCAAAATCAAGATCAACACCAAAAAAAAGGGTCCTGAAAGTTGAAAAGAAAAAACTGATGAAAGAAGGCAAACAAACCAAGAAATCAGGACTTAGAGATTGGTTGTGTCTGTATATTTTAGTCATATATATATGAAACCCTTGGATTCTGTAGAGATTGGTGCCGACATGTGAAACTTTGGAACTGGAAATGAAGAAGTGTCAGAGAGCCGTCTTAAAGATGGTTTGC